CTTTGTAGGTTATTTGTTTCTTCCCTCTTGTCATTCTCATTATCTTTTCTTTATCTTGCAGTCTTGGAATTTTGAATATGATATGCCTAGCTGTTTGCCTCCTCTCATCATCAACCATCCTTATATTTTAAGAATTAATTCTACCTTATGAAATAAAATTTAATTTGTACTTATATTCAATTTACTTGCAAAATATATAAAATGAATCTACATGCATAAGATTTTCTTATGTTCAAATTTTACTAGTTTTCAACACTTCAGCTCCATAAACTAAATGAGAAATATCCTACTTGGAATAATTAACATAAAATAGAACCTATTTTTAATAGGCTTGGCAGAGTAGAATTATAAAACCACCATAGCCTTTCTAAGCAGAAGCAGTAACAGTACATTTCATATCTGTGATTACTGGTTTCTTCTTAGACCAATTTGAGTTATATCTGGTAGGGAGTTCTCTAATTTCTTTAGATTTTCTAATGTACTACCATAATTTTCATAATATATTGAAAAAAATAGTTGTTTTGATCCCTGTATCTCAGTTCTTATTTCTAGTGTTGTGCTGTTGTTATTCTTTATTTTTTAATGCATCTTTCCAAGGGGGCTATTCACTTTTACCTGGAATTATTTGTACACTTCAATGTAATTTTTTGTAGGGAAGAGTTAGGAATAGGCTTTCACTTCAGTAAAATTCATTAAATTGAGTTTCCTGTTCTATCTGCTTTCTGTTCCTTCCCTATCATTTAGAATATTTATTTTATTTGCTTTGAACATTTATTTTTAACAATAAGTGCATTTTAATTTATATATGTTCCTCTGAGTACAGTATGCTCTGACTATCAATTCAACTTCTGGAAATTTGCTCTACAGAAATAAGAGCTTCTTAATATAAAAACTGAAGAACAAAGAAGTTTGTATTTTTTTCACAGTAGTAAGCAAACAAGCAAATAAACAACAACAAAAACCTCCAGGATACAGTCAAAATGCCCATCAATACTTAAATCATTGCTTCAGCTGTGTTATAGACTCATCAGAAAATTATCTTCTCATTTAAATTTGTATATATTGTCCCAGAGATGTCCATAAAATATTACATATAAAACAAAATTACAGAATAATGTGATTAATATCATTCATTTTTGTGGGCAAAAGAAGTTATACAAAAAACACATATGCACTAAAAAGCATTTTTGTTTATATATATGCTTTTCCAATGTGAAAGATAATGTAACCAAATTTATTTGTTTACTTCACATGAAAGTGTCAGAAGTGGTAGGGGGGTGATCTTATATTTAACATGTTACTGCATCACTTAACTAGTTTAAATACGGACTTAAAATATCTATAAATGGAAACATACAACTAGAAAGACAGAAATACATGGATATTTCTATGAATTCTGATATTAACTCTGAGAGCCTATTTTAGACTTTAATTGACTATTCTCCTTGCATTACCATAGCTTCTTTATCATGCCCTTTTCTTGTATAAATCATTATTGTAAAAGTTTCTTCTAAATAAAAGACAAGAAAGTGGTAAAGACCTAGATGGTCTTCATTTCACTCTATGTTCCCATGTAACTATGTTAGTGTTTACTGAAACTCTAGGTTGCTTAGTCTACAAAGTTTCTAGGAGGCCTCCTAAGAATTTCCTTTAATAACAAACTTGAGGAGAGTGGAGATAGTAAATTAATAGTCAGATAGGAAAAGATAAAAATAAAAAAAGTAAATAGTAGGAGGTATTCTCTTATCCCATAACAGAAAAGGACAGTTATATTGATTACTAGGATACAACTATGATTATTGTAAGAAGTCATTGTTATTTTGCACAAATAGAAAAGGGTTAAGTGAAATCAGAACAAAAAGGAGCACATGCATTTAATAGTACCTTTTTCTTGCAACGTTTTCTTGGTGGTAGCTTGATGGTGGAAAGGAGATTCTTCCATTTCTTGATCAGATTTTGAAGAAGAGAGTGAGGTATCTCCCAACGTGGAGGAGGAAGGCTCCCTTTCTGGGCGCAGTGGTTCTCCTTGAAATTCAGCGTCGTGGTCAGGTGAGAAGGGCACACTGCTAGCCACTGGGGTGAGGGATGGAGCACCAGAATCTGATTCTGGAGAAGTTCTCAAACCCTTGGGCAGAAGTGATTTGGTAACATGCAAGTGGTTATAATAACTGTCTGAAGGCTGTTGGTATAAGAGATCATAAAGGAAGTTATGCCTCAGCATCAGTTCCTTGTAATACTCACTTTGAAATCAGACCAACCTTCTTCAAGGGAATCCCCAAGAAAACTAATTTTTGTTTGTTGAGTTACAGCTGTGACTGCAGAGTTCACAACAATGCAATCCATATAACTACTGCAGCTAACACAGATACCTAAGGCATACAGAAACTGTTAACTTGTAGATTCATTCTGTTCTACAAGGTAGAGCCCACGGCTGAATATTACAGCACCATCAAGAGATAGGACATCATGGCTAATGCACCTAAGAATAAGTAGAGAAAGAACCCAAATCATAATAACATATTCAGTGAAGGAAAAATTGAGGACACAAGGACGTGAACTGTTCCAGCTGTTTCCAACTAGGAATAGAATTTGGCTGTAGAAAAATCATTATCTTCAAAAAGCTGTTGGAACAATTATACAGATAACACTGTAAATTAGGAAATAGTGATGCTCACCTTTCGCTCTAGACTGTCCTCTCCATCTGTTGAGCTGACACTATCGTAGAGTCTTGTCCTAGAGGGCTTCTGACGTCTGTTTTTTACGGAGAGCTGGGCTCGGGTTTTCAGTGCTTTTGAATCTAGGCGCTCTGTCTCTGGGACTGCTTCATTCAAGTCTAAGAAAGAACAGGGCAAAACAGTCAGTGAGAGAAACCTTTGGAGAGCATTGACAAAGAGACCACAGTTGCTGATAACAAAATCTCAAGGTCATCAGTAATACCAGGCAAGAAAATAGCTAACAAACGACACATCCTCTGATAACCCCCTGAGATTTAGGATAAATGTACATAGTCTAAGAGGAAACCAACAGTGAAGGTGAATAAAGCAACAACAAAAATCTAACTTTGAAAGAGCGTTAAGACCTAGCTATAACATCTAGAAAGCACTGACTTCTATTTGGTTATTTATGTGTAGGTATACTGCAGTATTGATGAATACAGATAAACAGGAAGGTAAGTCAGAATTGGTGATCTTATTTATTTTTTTTAAAAAAATTATTTTAGTTATTTATTCATATAAGAACTGGGGTCTAGGCCAAAGGTGAGGGGGTGAGAGGATTCACCAGAGATAGAGTGGGGAGCAGAACAGGGAAATCTATGAAATACATTGCTGAGGGGAGCAGCAGGCAAAACAGGAGAAATCTGCTGTGCTATTTGGGTCACCTTCAGGGCTGGAGATTGAACTCAGGCCACACAGGTAATTGCGTGATCTTATTGAGACTTAATCCCTGCACCAACAGGAAGGCCCCAGAGTTGGTGATCTTAAGAGCCAAGGACACAGACTTATGAAAATCAAGTTTACCACGTCAAGTATAAGTAACAGAAAGTGTCCATCAGCATCCATTTTCTATAGCAAAATTAATAGGCTGTAAAGTCCCTATCATTTTAGTCTTAACGCATTTTTTTGATCCAAACCAGGTTTTGACAATCTAGCTTTTTCTTCCTTGAACTCTCTATAATGGCCAGAATTTAAGCTAATTCAGGAAATAAAACAAGATCAGGTTATCCACACAAACAATTTAAGAAATAGAAATAATCCAGTATTATGGGTGGGTAACATAAATATTTCCCTTTCTTTTACTTTTAATTAAATTTAATTTTTAAAAAGATTAATTTATGCAGAAAGAACTGGGTTACAGGCCAGAGGTGTGGTGGGTGAGAGGATTCACCAGAGACAGAGTGAGGAGCAGAACAGGCAGATCTACTGAAGTACACTACTGAGGGGAGCAGTAGGCAAGACAGGAGAGGTCTGCCGTGCCATGTGGGTCACCTCCCTGGCCCAAGATCGAATTAGTGCTGCAGTGGCTACAGATAGCTTCATAGTGCTGTGCTTTAACCCACTGCACAACCAGGGAGGGTCCTCCTGTTCTTTTATTAACATCCAAGTTTATATTAAAAGTTATATGCTATGTGTCTCTGTTTCACTACTTTTTTCTGGATAGCATCTCTCCCAACTGGGAATGACACTGACTTTCCAAAGTAAAATATTGAACTCTTTAAATGAAAAAGAGTCAATGAGGAAAGGAGAAGAAAATGAGTAAAATGGAGCACAAAGAAAATGAACTGGGGAGGCTTAGTGGAGGGTCAAAACATGGTGCTCTTTAATCTGCCTCTCATCACCCTGCATCTCGCTCCCCAGATTCCAAGCTACCATTCTACAGGGGAAGGAGAAAGGTTACTATTAATAACCTAGGTGTTGGCTGAGGAAAAGTGCTCTCTGATTGAATTTATTTGAATGCTACTAGTCCTTGCATTTGTGTATGCTGGTACTCCTTAGAAACAATGTAGTCTGATCATTAATCTTATTTTATCTTTTCAGAGTGGCTGTTATTAAATAAATAATCATCAAGGAATTAATAAGTAAGTGCTTCTGGATTAAAATTATCAAAGCAAATAATTGTTGCAGAACATTTATAAACACTGATATTAATAGAATAAAAAAATTCTCATAGGAAATTGTTCCCAACATTATTATTAGAAATATGTGCTCTAAATATAATAAAAAAACAAAACAAGGAAGCACCTCAGGTTATACTTCTCTAATTTATAGAATTTAACATTTGGCATATGGCTCTAACAAAATTAAATGTATTTTACTCTAGGAAATAGATCTATTTATTGACTTCAACTTTTCATTTCACATATTGGAAAGAAAAGTGAATATTTAGCGAAGTCAGGCCATTCAGACATATAAAAGACCAACAAATATTCTCTAATTACTTATATCTTCATTTGTACATGTCAGTGGAAGAACAGTATTCTCCTTGATCACTTTAATCTCCTTCTTCCAATAAAATCTAACCCTGCAGTTGGGATAACTGGGAGAGAATCAACCTTACAAGTTCTTGTTTACATACAAAAATGTGGAAACACCACATAATGAAAGTAGGTTGTTAGTCATATCTGTAGGTATAATAACTTATCTACTCAAAGTGGAATGAAAAGTTCTGTAATAGAAAGCACCTTCACACACACTGTCTCATGTATTCTTCATGAGACAGGCCAGGGGAAGAATGTGTTGTTTCTTCTGAGAACTTGAGTAACTTGCCCTTACTTTACCTATAAACTATGATGAATGGCTATTCCAAATCAGCTAGTATTACACAAGTTAGTAGACAAGATTTTAATGCCATTAGAGTTCAGTTTACAGTGGTAAAATCACACATGATGTAACTTTTTCAAGGAAACTGACTTTCCAACAGACTATCCATGAAATATTATCATTAATCTTCCACATGTGTTAAGAGAGCATTACGAAAGGAAGACATGATGAAAACATTATTTTTCACATGATTTCTGCTTAGTTGGTTTAATAATAGTTTTGGCTGCTGATGACAAAAAGTCCCAAGGAAGGAAGCTCATTTTACTTTTGTAATCATGACACGTTTTGCAATAGAATCCTGGCCCTGTAGGGCCCTGCAAATCACCTAACAAACAGGATTGCTGGAGCCATTCCCTCACTACGTACTGAGCAAATAAACTGAGAGATCATAAGAACTACTTATTACCAAGGTTCAGCGTGTAGAGAACTTAGATCCCTGGCTCCATTACTATTCAGTAATATACTAGACAGTGGAATCAGACAACCACAAAATGACAATCTGGTGCATTTGCTAGTGCTCACTACATATAAAGGCTAGAGCACTTGCATGGGCCACATCTATTAATGACGCAATTGGGCAGCCTGAAAAGCAGTGCCTTAAGTATATTACATTACTAACAAAATATTGAAAACAATTATCTCTGGTCTTTTTATAGTAGAAATTCATGATTACAAAACAGTAATTCATACTATATCCCAAGGGGAAAAAATATTTTTCAAGAACCAGAAAAATGGAATGGAGCTGAGAACTTTTACTCCAACAGCCAGAAGAAAGTTGGATGACATGCAACCACTACACATACAAGTCACATCCCCATGACAGAATTAGAAGAGATGCTTGAAGATATCAGCCAAGAGTGTTGAGAACTATGCGGCTGGGCCGTTCACTGGATGGGAGATTGCCTGACTGAGCTGCTACCTTTTCTTACTACATCATTACAAGAATCAGAATAAACCATTCAGAAGAAGCTTGGAGACTTATTCACAGATAGGAAAACCAAGGCTCAAAGAAGGTCACTAAGTCAGTATTAATTTTATCACAATTAATCTGTGGAGGAGACTGAGTAGGGGTCAGGCTTCAGAAACTGATCTGCCCTCCATAAAGTCACACTCAAATCTGCAGGCAAACATCACAAGTACCCTTCTGCCTTCTTTGAATCCTTCTTTAAGTCTTTATCTTCCATACACAAACACATGCCACAGGCTAACTTTCTAAATTCCCAGAAGTATACAATATCCGAATGACAAACAAACAAAACAAAGGGCTTTTACTTGGTTTAGTACTTATCTAAAAGTTTAGTGGTTTGTTTTGTGGATGGCAACGTGGCAGGAGAAGTACAACCCATTCAGCAGTTGGAAGTTAGATGTTACTAAGTGCCAATTGGACATGCGTTCTTACTGTCATTTATTCTCTACAGAGATTGTAACCAATAAAGTAACATGACTTATAAACCCCAAATCCAGGCTCTTCCCCCACTCTTTCTCTCCAGTGCCTTGTTCAGCTGTTCATCTGAGTCAGAGGAAAACTCCCTTTCTTCTCTTCTCCATATTTTTCTTTCAGACCTTCTAGCATCAGACATAGCCTATTTCTGACTCAAATGCAGCCAGAAATACAAAAGAACAGACTAGAGCGGATCAATAACTATAGATAGAAAATACAGAAAAGATATGAAGTTGTTAAGGACAGACAGTTTTGAGTGGGTGGAGAGTTTGCCTTACTATACCTGCATTTTAAGATTAGTTTCAGTACTGCTTCAGACCGGGTCCTTTAAAAGAATTTTATGGATTCAATTATGATTTCAGCAGCTGTTAGGAAAAATGTTCTGTGAAATTAGGATGTTATATATCATATTACACAGAGACTGGTTCCCTAAAGTAATGCTGTGAGTCATTCCATTTTTTCACTAGGTTGACGTTATTTTTGACGTAAATGGAAGGCTGCCCACAGATCAGATATAGACAGCAAGGCACCAGGGGCATGGAGCAGCATAACAATGGGGTCTGCTCCGCATTCCTACATGTATTATTCCCCTCAAAAACAGACATACCTCGCCCAATCACAGTGCATGCCTTGTGCTATTAGCAACTGAAATGCTGAATATAATGAGGCACTTATTGGCTTTTTTAAACTTGAGCACTATCTGCATATCATTCATAGTCACTGCAAGTTCATAAAAGATGGGCCTGTGGGGCTTTGGCTTGATACATATCACATTCAGAGAGAGGTTTATGTATCTCACAGAGGCGTGTCAAATTGTTACCAGGAGAGTAGACCTGGAGTTAGTCTTCTTGGAATAAAATCATGAACCGTGGTTCTGTCACTAAACTGGGCAATTAACTAAACTCAGAATCCTCATCTGCAAAATGGGCATCCTGATAACATAATAAAAATTACATTGTTTGAGGATTAAGTGAATAAATAGGTATAAAAGTGCTTAGAAAAGTGGTATATAAGCACTCAATAAATACCTTTATTTCTGACATAAAAGGGAGCAACACTTTAAGTGACCCCAGT